TAACCCATGCTACACGACACGAGAGATTGCAGAGGCACTACACATTGCTTTCTCAACCATTCATGACCTTTTAAAGAAGCTCAGATTCGTAAGCAAGCTTGAAGTTTGGGTTCCTCATGAGCTGAAGGAAATCCATTTAGTGAAGCGTTTGAGCATCTGCCGTTCCCGTTTCTGAAGCATATGGTCACTGGTGATGAGAAATGGCTTGTGTGCAATAACGTGGCATGCAAGAGGTCTTGGAAACAGTGTGATAAACCACCTCAATCCATGTTCAAAGCAAACATTCACCAGAAAAGGTCATGCTGTCAGTGTGTTAGGATTTCAAAGGTGATTTCAAAGGTGTGCATTTCAAACTCTTACCAAGGAATCAAACGATTAATTCAGCCATGTACTGTCAACAATTGGATAAATTGAACAATGCAATCAATCAAAAGCGGCCAGAACTCGTGAATCGTAAAGGCTCTGTGTTTCACCAAGACAACGCAAAACCACACACGAGTTTGGTTACCTGCCAAAAGCTGTTGGAGCTTGGTTGGGATGTGTTGCCCCACCCACCTTGCACCTTACGGACCTTGCACTTCAGATTGCTATTTGTTTCACTCTTTGCAGAATTTGTTGAATGATAAAACATTTGATTCCGATGAGGCTATAAATCGGCACCTGGTATAGTTTTTTGCTTCTAAAGACAGATCATTCTACCAGCATGGAATTGTGAACCTTGCCGAACGATGGGAAAAGGTCATCGAACAAAATGGTCAATACATTATTAATTGAATTCTTAATTTTATAGGAAAAATCACCTTTGAAAAAGATAGTAAAAATATGACATGACTTTCCGATCAACCCAATAATTCGTATGGAACGTGATCTGACAACGGAGAAGTAATTTTCAATGAAATCAAGACTAAGGATTTGAGCACAGCATTTAGCGACTAGAAGCCTTATATTTTTTATAGTACTACTTCAACTGTATTTTAATTTAGGTATCCATTTAATACCAATAACTTTCTTATTTAGAGGTTCTTTAACTACTTCCCAACCCTTTTCTTTAACAAGAGAAGTATATTCTGATAGCATGCTATTATGCCAATTTTAGCATATAGACCATTTAACACTTCTTACACTAGGGAATTAATGTTATCAACAACAACATTTTGCATTTGTGTATTTTTATTTACAATTTTATATATATTTTAGGTAAACTCCTTTTTTATTTTCTTGAGATGACCAGGCATCCTTTTCATCAGACTGGGATAATTTGCTGTCTAAATCACTTTTGTATTCTTCTCCATGTTTAAAATCAGGTGGTGACTCTGTGTTGTTTAGAGGTGATGTTTCATCACAAGACATTTTATATAGCATTTTCCCCTTGGGAATAATTTTTGAACTTGTCAATAAATTGTACATCTCTGCTTATTATCACATGCATCAGAAGTCTGTAAGTATAGGAAAGTATGTAAGTATTTTGTGAATGAAAAGCTTACAGTATAATCAGAATAGCCAATAAAAATATATTTTATAGATCGAATAAAAAATTTGCTTGTTTCTGTCTTTTTATTAGCAGAAATCTTTTAAACCAAACTTTGGGAAATGAGGTACTGTTGTCGTTTGGCCAAGCATGATCTCTTAAGGTGTTTTTGCGCTGTCTCCAAAACTTCACATTTAGCAGCAATTTTGGATGTAGCTATATTGATGGCATGAAGTGAAAATTTATGAGACAGCATCATACCTCCATTGTAACTAAAGTGCACCTCAATCTTTCAGTGAAGCAGTTTTGCTTGAGCATATAGGAAGTCATTTTTTTTCATGTTTTATTCCTGCATCATAATGAAACTTATTAAAATCTGTCATTAAATATCTCGTTATCCATTCAGAAAATTTTAATTTAATGAAATTCAGTTTATTTTCAATAAACACTTTAAAATTGATAAAGGCTTGGGTACTTGCGTATTACTGCAACCACCTTGGTGCAGTGTGGCAATTTTTTACAGAAGAAAAAGGAGATTTGGTGAATTTTCGGTTTCCACTTTACAGTGGATATGGTTACTTGAAGAACTGTAATGCATGGTTGCCAGAGTTTGGCGATTTCTTCTAAGGTAGTTGCAATAATACATTAAGTGTCAAGGCTTGTTTACCTTCATCCTTAGACTTTAGAAAATTAACATGAACATATTGAGATTTATTGATAATAAAGGCTGCAAAATAAAAATCACCTATAAAGATCCACCTATTAATTTGATTTTCATGGGGCTACACAAATGAGAATGAATAAGATTTAATAATTCAATACTTCTGTACTTAAGAGTCTTTAGAAAGGGAGTTGTGGTTTGTTTACCCTTAATATACACCTTACAGGTAAAAAGAAAGTCATCCTGAGAAAACAAAAGACCTTCGACCATATAATTTAACTTGAGTTTTTAGCCACATCTACTGATCTATTTCTTTAGTTGTTGACACAAATTCAAAATATTGGTATGATATTATAAAGTTCATTTTCACATTTATCTGAGAATATTGTTCTGTTATTTAGAAGTAATTATTTGAGGACAGTTTTGTTTGAATGTTACTGAATAATTATTTGCAGTTACTTTAGACACTGATATTGAACTATTTTTCAAATCAGATGCACTGAATACATTTTAAAGTCTAATATTTTCAGTTTTAGAGCCTATTCAAACTTTAAATTTAATAGTTCCCTTTCAAGTAGCTGAAAGTAATTTATCAGCAGCAAACTTAACATTGCTATTCCAAGAAAATACCTCAATCTCTTCAAGCAGTTCTTTTGAGTTACGCATGTAGGATGTTACACCACCATCAAGGTAGAAGATATCTTAGGAATCAATATTTATACGTGATGTGGCCATTACATGTTATTCAGCGGAATTCTTTTGCTCTTCTGGTAGATTCTCTTGGGTGTTTGTTTTTATTTTCTTTTTGTTCGTCCTCCATTCTAACATTTCATTTATGTCAGAGGTTGGCAACTTTTTTTGGCTGCAGGTCAAAATCAACCAAAACACATGTATTAAGAAGATTTGTCTTTTCATTTTAGAACAGTCTTTCTTAATGAATAATAACTTAAATTTTATTGAGAAAATAATTATACTTTTAACATAAAAAATTTAAATTATTATAAAAGCACTAACAAACTGAATGAACTTTATTTTTCTGTTCAATATCAATGGCTCCCTGATATAGAACTAGTGACTTCAGCTTAGTCAAGTCTGGCTTGTAGTTAATCCAAGCATCTGAATTTTCAGTAGTTAAGTTGCTCCCAAAAAATAAATTTCATGTGTGAAATATCTGCTTGCATGTTTAAGTTGATCTAATATGTAACAAATGGCAAAGCTACTTTTTTAGAATTATGAATTATGGATTGATGTTACCAAACTTATAAATTTCTTCTTAAAATTATGTTAGTTTTTATTTTAAAAAATAAAAGTGCATATTCATTACTGCAACTTCATAATCAAATAAAAAAATGTTATAGGTTTTATTTGTTTTTGGTTATTTTTTTAATGTATTCTTCAAGTGCTTGTTTCATATTTACAATTTTTTTTACATATTCCATGTTATTTTGGGAACTCAGTGGGTCACTTGAAATTATGAAAAGGGTCACAGGTTCATGAGGCCTGCTGTATGTCCATGTATATTGAAGAAATTGCATCTGTAGTGAACTGGATACTGCTTCCCATTTGAAAATAATCTTGTTTCAGTTTTGAAACTGCTTGTTGATTATGCTTCATAGCTCTTGAACAGAACACACATTGTGATTCAGAATGTGATGATTCTTACTCTTGCAAGCTTCGATTTCTTCCACTGCTTAATTTTCAGCATTTCTGGATAGCGCAATACAACATGGGATTCAGTGATAATTTGAAAGCTTTCATGAGGGGTCCAGTATGCTATGCAGAAAAAATGCTGTTATTAAATTATCCATGATTTTGATTTCTGTTTCTTTTTTGGCACTAAGTACGAAAAATTCATTTAAATGATCTGCCATTTGTTTAAAATCGCTGATCTTTATAAAAGGTATTTTTTTTTTTTTTTAGGATTAAGGCTTTTGTAGCTGGCCCTTTTTTATTCACAAATAGAACACATTTTCTTCCATAGTTCATTAAGATGCCACACTGTTCTTTACTTGCATAAGTTCACTAGGTGAGATTCATAGAATTATAGCCATTTATGCTTTCTGGTCAGTTGTTATCCATTTAGTAATTTCTTCAGCACTAGTTTCAGGTTTTGGAATTGCCCATATGCATAGTCCCAGTGATCATTTTTTATCAGTGTGTGTCCTTGACTTGTAGTTTCCGTGTGTGAAAATTCTCCTTGATCAGCTTTTTGATTGAAACTGTATTCATCACTGTTTTTATCAGTTGACTTAGTATGGGTTATTGGAAGAATTTAACAGTGTTGGTTTTACTGTTCAGTTAAACATCGCCTGGGCCCATAGCCAGTGTAGAATAATGGCGACATCTTACACTATAAGTACAAGCATTTATTGTTACAATAAAAACAAGAAATAACAACAGAGTAGAAAACTAACAAAGTAATCCAACATACAGTGCTTCACCATGCTTAACCAACTGACTACTAAGTGTATTGCCATGCTGCAAAAATCTGACATACCCTGTATATACTAGAGGAATTGATGGCTATTTCCAACAGTTGTTGATTGCATTAATATTTTACAGATACCTTTTCTTCTCTTTTTACATATTTACTTTCCTTCTATTTTGTTACCTTTTGCTAAAGAATTGAGTATGTTTATCTTGGCAAATCAGCCTAATTCTGCTGTAAATCTTATTTATTTTCATTTCATCTTTTGATGCAATTTTTCTTAGCTGACCTTTAACATCCACATTTATATTTGCTGAAATCTGAAATGATAGAATATCTTGTTACATATTTTTTAAATTGCTGTGCCTATTTCCTCATTGTGCTTAAATTATTTTTACTGTATAAATGATTTTTTTTAAAACCCTCATGTAAATTTTTGTGCTTTTATAGTCCCAATTGTACATGATTCGTAAGGATCCAAAAACCTTCTGTCATGAACCTGAAGGTCCTCCAGAAATATATGAAAATTGGCTAGAATCTTTTGATCCCAGTGAGTATGAAGATGAAATGACGAGAATAATGATGTCATGTTCAGAAGTTCAAGAATTGTATGATAAATTAGTAAGTATTTGAAACAAATTTGCTTTTTCGTTTAAAATAATCTCTGTGATTTACAAACACTATTTCATCATAAAATTATGCTTATGCTTTCTTTTTAAAGTAAATAAATATGAAATGAGGTTACTTATTTTTCGTATCATTATAAAATAAGTAGGATGCCTAAATGAAGAGTTTGGATTCATTTAATTAGTAGATTTATTAAAACTATTGTAATTTAAATAACTTAGATGTATACTGCTGTGTTTTTAATGTGAGAATCATTTTCTCGTGAGAACAGATCATCCTAAAATATTTTAGATGAATATTAGTGCATATTTTTAAAATGCAGTTAGTAAGAATATGAAAAAGGTACCTAACAGGCATATGTAAGCCACATTCCGAAAGTAATATCCATTTGATAATAATAATAAAATAACAAAAATTAGTAAACTTTTTTAAGCACTTACCTGTGACGATTTTTCCTAATAAACACCCATAGCATTGAAATCAAAACACGTGGTCGATCAACAGTCAGTTAAATAAGATAGAAAATTTTTACCTGGTTCTTGATTCAGTGAGCTTCTAAGACAGCAATTGAAGATATTTTAGATGTTAATTCTTTTCTTGCATAATATAATGAGGGACAACTTTACACTCTTGACAATACACAACAAAGTTTAGCTACGTTAAAATATTAACTAAAACAAAACAGTTACTGCACATCACCGGCATCTATATGCTAGAGTTTGCAGCATCCTCCAGGGCCAAAAATTTGGAAATGAAATTTCCTTAAGTGTCGATTAAGAGTTCCAAAGAACATAATAGTTGCACTGATCTCTTAATGGGAGTTCTATTCAAAAATCTCATAGTCCATGCATGGATATAGCCATCACATCCAGGATGCAATTCTGTCGCAATGCTTATTTGTCATGAAAGTCTAGGGGCTTTGTCATTGCTTATCAAAACCTCAGTGTTTGCTGAAAGTTCTGTAGGCCAGTTGATTGATCATGATTGATAAGCTGTTCTAAGCTCAGAAAGATAAGATGATTTCCATCTTTTCCAAATTCATTTAAGTATGTCTTCTTGTTATCTTCTCATATTTAAAAGTTGAGATTCAGAGAAATTAATCCCTTTACTTGTTTGAGAAAAAATCAGTAATCATCATTCTATCAAGAAATGTACAGGTGTTAGTGATTCTGGTTCATTTGTTAACCAGAAATTACAAGCATTAAGTGAAAACGTGAGAGGCCTGAAGTTGATTATTGCCTTTGTCTGTATTAGTATAACTTCCAGTTCTTGAAACTGGTGGTCTTCCTTAGATTCTTTAATACAGTCAAAAGTCGTTAATTCGGACACCCATAATCCGGACCTCAAAGCTACAAACTTTCTGCGCATGTGTTGCGTTGACGCATGCGCGTAAGACCTTTACGGCTGCAAATATGCGTGTACGCATGCACAAAATACGTTTATGAATGCGTGTTTAATGTATAACAAACGGTATAAGCTAAGCTAAAATTATCTAATTCAGTTAATGTTGCAGATTGCGTTGTTCCTTAATCTTCGAATTGGATTCGGCTTATTATTTTTTGCAGACTGTTAAAGCAATTTTATAAAAGTAAGCTTGAACTTTCGATTATGTCAAATAGAATTTCTGATATATATTTACTAATATGTAAAGGATCTACAAAGCGAAAGTATGTTTCGAAGTTCATTAAACAAAAAGTGGAATGGCTGCAAAAAATGGATAAAGGCATATACTTTGTTTATCTTTAACGCCTTTATCTAAACATTGTTTATCTTTTTGCGCTGTCTTACATCAAGAACCAAGTAGAAAGTTCATACTTGGTTCTTGATGTAAGACAGCACAATGAATTGGAAGTTGATCTGTCAGCACTATCTTTATCTTCAGGGCAGATGTTTTTATTTTATTTGGCTTATAATTCCTGGATAATTCCTTACTAAATGTAGTTTTTCATCTCGATGTACTCCATCTTTGATATGATTTAAATCAAATTCCTCGTCATTATAATTCGCTTCCGATAGCAAAGAAAGTGACAGAGGTTATTGAAAACAAAAAAAATTGCGATTGACAAATTAGTCGGTATTCTCGACACAGCAATTATAGGACTTGAACGGCGGAACTTTGTAACTGAACAAGAAATTATGTCTGTTTATAGAATTAAAGAGGATGTATTATCACATAAAAAACGAAGCAAATTAAACAACTTACACTAAAAGAAATATTTAATAAAGTAAACAAATAAATATTAAGCTTTTTTTTTTTTTTTTTTTTTTTTTTTTTTTGTAAATTTTGATACCCTTTAGATCATAATAATTCTTTATTTCATAAATTACGGTTTCATATTTTTAATTTTATAATTTCTGCATGCCATCTTACCAGATTTAAACAGATGATCTATAATCCAGAATCGGTGAAGTCCCGACGAGTCCGGATTAACGACTTTTGACTGTATTGTGACCTTTTAATGCATCACTTATTTATTCACATCTTTAGTTAAAGAAGTTTGATTAGTTTTTTACTCTTTAACTTCTCTAATTCACTAGGTTGTGTCATTTTCAATTACTAAAGCTTCTGTTTATTTCACGACCGTAAAGCAAAAAGGTCTAGTTGATAAATAAATAAATATATTCAAATAAAATAGATGGTTCATATTTGGTTCTTGATGTAAGACAGTAATTCAAGATATTTTAGACATTAATTCTTTATTGGCACAGTGTAATGAGAGACAACATTACACTCTTAACCATACACAGTACATGTTAGCAACATAATCAACCTTAATCATAACCAGAACAGAACAATTACAGCGCATCAATGCCATCTGTATTCCAGAGTTTGCAACAGAGTCATTTATCATGTTAACTTTGATTTTAACCCTCTAACAGCGTATTTTTTATCAAATTAGGTTCAAAAATTGCGGAATTGTTTAATTATATATTTTAGAGTTAAAATATACAAAATGTTTTTGTAAAAGTTTTTTTTTTTTTTTTTTTTTTTTTTTTTTTCAGTATAGAATTAGATTATAAAAAAAGGGTGTTGGAAAATTTGAGCTGAAGAATAATCATATAAAAGAAAAGTTTTGAAAATATGATTTATTTTATAAAATATAATGTTAAAGTGTATATACTAATGAAAATACGCAAAATATTTACAAAACATTTATTAGAAATTAAGTGTAATATTATAAACTTCGAAACAAGGCTCGAGGCATCCTATCTCGCCATCTTAGCACAAATACACATTTCTTTGAGAATTGTTTTCCCAATTTCAGTTTTTTTTTTTTTTTTTTTTTTTTTTTTTTTTTTTTTTTTTTTTTAGAAACAAACAGCACAATGTCTATGAGTTTCTTTCTTGATGGAATTGGGGGGATATATATCTAGCAAAATGTTGAAAATGTTGCGCAGTTAGTCTCATGTCATTGAGAGTTGAACTACAGACATCTTTGAGCTTTGAAAAGAGTGGGCAAAATGGTGCAAAGCGTGTTTCTATATTTTGCAGAAATATGGATAACTAATGCCATCTCTTAACCCAGATCTGAATAAATAAACATCACAGCAAAACCAAAATGAAACCATGAACAGGAAAAGAGCGGGTTGTGCAGTTAAATAAGCGTTTAACAGTGTAACTAAAAGTCTGTTAGTAAAATGCATCCCCGCAGAAATCGTGAGTTGCGCAGATTTTGCAATTTTTTAATTGCACTTGGATATTGCGGGATATACAGCGAGAGGGTTAAGAGACATTATTGATTCTAAGATACACTTCTTAGTTTTAGTACTCTTGCCAACAGCAGCCTAGAACAAAGAAGACTGGTTCTAAGAAAATAAATTTTAAAAAATATTTCTAACATCTATTTTGTTGTTATCAACTTTGTATCAATAACAGTAGTGTATTTAAATTAGTTTTTTTGGATAAAATTAGATACTTCAGACTTTAATATTACTTCATTCTTAAATGTTTGTTAATTAAATACTTTAACTTATTTCTTTATATTTTAAAATTAAATACTTCAGTCTTAAAATGAATGACTGTTACCTTTGATTTTTTAAAACATCATGGTTTTGAGATGCACTGCTTAATTTTTAGTACCACTGCCAACAACAGCTAAAAATAAATAAATAAAAAGAAAAGAAAAAAGACATTCTGATTAAATAAAATAAAAGAAATGAAAAATACATCTAGTTGTTATGAACTTTGTATTAACAACAGTTGTATATTTTTTTAATTAGATTTGAATAAAATTAAATACTTCAGATTAACTAGTAATTTATAAAAATATGGGATTCTAAGTATAGTAACCTGTTTTTAGTTATATTTTTATGATGCAGTTGCCCCTTAAAATAAGAAAGTAATATAAAATAAAGAAATATGAGGTAAAAACTGAAAGGAGAAGTTTTTGTAAGTCATTCTCACTTCTTCCTCCAGTTTGTTGGCAGAAGGATCTGTAGGTACCTGGTAAGGTTGCATGCTATAATTCAGGTATGTTTATACTTTTGTGTGCATTGCATCATCACACTAGAAGCTGTGCTTGCAGATGTGTAGTAATGGTTGTATTTCTTACTAAATGAACCACCTGTCTAGGGTTACAGGCAAAAATATTGCACATGAAAACTTTGTGGAGAAAACAACGCAAGGAGAAACATCATTGAACATCATGGGAGAAAAAAAGCAAGAAAAAACATCATCATCAAAAATAAAGCGGTCCAAAATACCATGATTTTAAAACATCGTGGTAAAAAAATTAAGCACCTAAAAATCATCATGTGACGATAACACTGCAGACATGTGTTTTTTAGGCTTTAAAAGTTTCACGCAATGAATTGTAAGCACCAGAGGAATATTTTTACCTCTATATTTCATATTTTTGGGTCAATTAATAATTTTTGCTAAAACTGCAGGGAGGAAGGAAATTTGAGCATTCAAAAGCTGAAAATGAGTGGGAAAATAATGCTATGTACGAGTATGTAATTAGTGCTGCATAGTTAATAGAATTTTAAATTTA